AGATGACATCAACTAAAGAAACAAAGGCATAATCATCACACATGAACCCACATACAAACACACACCTCTCTGCCCTCCTGAGGTACACTATCTGCAGCAGGAAGTCCCATGCAGACACTTCCTGTTGGTCCCAGGAACAATAGCTATTGTCGCAGTCCGCACCACTCTGATATGCCATGACCTCACCTCCACGTCTCAGCTGACAATAAATCCTCCACCTTTAAATGGAACAAGCGATGATAGATTAACAAGGTAACGGCGCCAACCACACACACACACACACACACACACACACACACACACAAAAAAACAGCAACAGGGTTAAAAATGGTAAAAAAAAAAAGAAAAAAAAAAAGATTGAGGCAAAAATGCTAGCAGGAGGAATTGTATGGTTGGTTGTTCTCACATTCTATTCTGTGATGTTTTTTTTCTAAACTTTTCTAATTGTTCATGTGTTGTTGCCAATTTATCAGCAAACTTCCGGCGCCAAAATCGTGGACAGAAGGCGGAAAGACAATGCAGACACTGAGCAAAAACACTGAGGTTGAAATGTTTCAAATAAGTCGTATATCTAACAGGAGCTTCAGAAGTACCATCACCAGCTGTTCCACATTCCTGCCTTAAGAGTGAACAGTCCAGACACCATGCTACTGTACAACTCACCAGTTCATTTAAACTGATGTTTAGCTGACAGATAAGACTATGATGATGCTGAAACTTGGTAGATGGGTTGACAGACTGATGCATTTCTATGTTCTATCTTCTTTTTCATATTGGCGCTCTTAATGTTACATAATTTTGAATGAGCCAAAGCGGGTAACAGAACAATTAAGACAATAATTAGTCAGGAGCAGCCCTAAGTTGATAGAAACAGCTTCTTATTTATACATCCAGCCTATACAGAGCAGCAGTAGCCTTTTTTGCAATATTCACTCTCCTTTTAGCTCTGGTTTTGGTCTCCACCAACTATTGAGGTCTCATTTGCTGCTAAACACTCCTCTACGTTCACAGAGGAGTTGCTATCTTTGTCAGCGTGCATGTATTTATCAGTTTTTTGCTGAGAACATCTGTCTTCTGCAGCTGGAAACAATGCTCTGACGGGTGAGAGTGAACCAAGTTAGGGCAATCAGCTTCTGCTCTTGCTATGTGCTTTTCTGATGCTTTATTCTCTGCTAAGATCAATTTAGATGTTGGAAAAAAGAAAAACTGTGTTCAGTCTATTAGTATGCACTGGAAGCCTGTTGGCGTACCATGCCAAAGTGAAGTATCTTACAGGGGAAATTATGTGTAAATGGCTTAATTATGTTTTTATGAACTGAGAGCTGTCCAGTACAACCAGTCTTATACTTCTGCCCATTGTGCAGCTTTACTGGAACACTCAACAGGTAGCTCCATCAGCATCTCAGCAGAAGATAGGAGGTGGGAATGTTAGATAGTAGCTAATGTTGAAGTGGTCAAAATGGCCCATAGCGTCGGAACACATTTGGGAGACATTTAAATGTGTCTCTATGAGAAACTGGCTGGACCCAGAGTAGTTGAAACCAGCTGGTGTTTCCCTGCTGCACCAGAAACAAACCACAGTTTTCAGGAATATGCTGATGAAGTGAGCTCATATGGCGCTTGCATACATGCAGCCACACAGAAGGAATGAACCAGACATAACACATTCACTTACCCAGACAATCCAGGGATTCAAACTTCTCAGCTGCAGCATGAAATAGATGGAACAACTCTAGATAACATATTGAGAGAGAGAAAGAGAGAAAGAAAGAGCATTGTGTTCATTAATCAGCTGATGACACAGCTCCAGTGGCCTTAGTAGAGTGGGAAATAATGGAACGTAACCAAGCTCCCTTACCTTATGTTTAGCATGATCCTCGAGGGTGTTAGAAAAGGGTTCCAACATTCGACAGTGCTTTTTTTCTCTGTGACACAGTGTGTGTGTGTGTGTACGTGTGTGTGTGTGTGTGTGTGTGTGTGTGTGTTTTCAGCATGCCTTCGTCCCCATCTGTACAGAGCAGCTGCCGTCAGGATGCTTCTGGGGATTAAACGCCTCTCTCACACACAATCTGCCTTCCCCCCCACCACCCATCCACATCTTCTTCACCTTTCCACCTCCTTCCATTTCTCCCTCTCATTCTCTCTCTGTCTCCCTCTTTCATTATTTCATCTTGCTGCCAGTGCTGGCTCTCTCATCTCAATCTTTATATATTTTAAAATCACAATCCACAATTGTTGTGTTGCACAGGGTTTGCCCACATGTCAGAATTCATGCGGCCTGCATGCCATGTAGTGTGCGCTAATCAAAATGTTTATATAAACAATGGGTCAAATGACTATGTGAAAGGTGAGAAAAACCCACAGAGATTGATCTCATGATTCTAAGATTTCCTTCATCTCTACAGAGTTTCTTAGCATTTTTAAGCTCATTGTTGTCATTTTGCGGCCCGCAACTTTACTTTTTTGGTTCACTGCTCTCATAAACCGTGTTTTAAGACACGACAGGCAGCTGCTTTCAGCAAGAAAGCTCTGATAAACCTATTGTACAGTACCTGCCCCTCACCAGACAGCAGGCTGATAAAGTTACTAGATGCTAACTTTATCAGCCTGCTGTCTAGTGGAGAATTTAGAGGCTAAACAGGCAGATATTTCCCTCAGGAGTTGGTTGAGAGCAAAACAGAACTAAAAGGAGAATGAATATTACACTTTTACTGGGTGTACTCCAAATGAATGCTTACATTTCTCCATGTCTGCTGGATGTTGACTTAATACAGTTAGAATATGTCAGTGTTGTGTTTACAGCTTGTTCCACCGCCCCCAAGTGGCCCAAAATCAATTGATGCTGCTTTAAAATTTTAACTTGCCATGTTTACTTTTGCAGGGGTGCATGTTATGCTTTAATTTTGCCTCGCATAATCTTTATTGTCCAGAGAATTTCATCTCTTTATGTCTGAATAGGCTGGGAGTTCATTAGCACTTTATCAAATATAGATCCAGTATCAAATCTGATTTTCAAAGAATCCTTTCAAATCCCTTATGTTTAGTTTCCAACATCATTAAACAACATAAGCAGACTTACTGAGAACAAAATATTTAAAAACTAGAACTCAATTACACAAATTCAATTTTTTTTTAGATATGCTGCATTACATATTTGCTATCTATTTGTTTTGCAAGGTTTTGTGCGTTACTGTCTAAAAGAGGATAAAGGTATGGTAAGAGTTTTTAGGACAAAGCAATTTCACAGATCTGGAAACAGCAATGATAATCTGAATTGTAGCTAAACAAGGGGTCAAACTCCTCTCACTGTGTTCACTATCTCAAAAATTCCTCACAGCTTATCTGAACCTCCTCGTATATGAAAGATTAAATAAAACCAGAATAAACACACTAAATGTGCAGATTTGAAAGGTTTAGTATGTCGACAGGACTGTTTTTATGTGTGAAAACATAATGTGCGTGTTTGTGAGGAAAACTCTGCGTGACAGATGCAGAAGTAAACTGTGTGCATGTGTGTGTAGTGTGTGTTAGCGTGGCTCGAGGGGTGAGTGAGTTTTATCCTACTGTCAGAGAGAATGTGTCAGATTTCGACTCCTTTGTTCCTTGTCGCCGAGTCTTGTCGTTACGTCTATCCGCGTGTGTGTGTGTTTGCCTGCCATCCCTGTCAGCTTTAGTTATTAGTCACTGGCTCTGTCGAGAGGCGCCTTTTTTTTCCAAATAGTTTTGAAGTCATAAATCCATAAGCAGACAGATGTAAGCTGGCGACCAAATACAGATATATATTAGGCATTCCCCTGGATCCAGCAAGCTGCTTGATGGGACATAAATGCAATCATATCCTTTCTCCCAAATCCCTCAGAGCTTTCACATTCTCCCTTCACCACTGCTCATAGACTATTAAGATACAGATGCTCTTGCTGTATACACTACACTCAGTCAGTTAAGATAATTCCCATGTATACCATATGTCTTCCCTTAAATTTTGATACACTGCTTCTCTGAAGTGCTGATAAGACATTTGAGTGGAATACAGCGAGCATTGTGGTCCGAAGCGTCATGTGGGCTGCAGGTTATTTAGAGTAGCATGTTACAATCAAAATGGAAACTGATGTGTTTTTCTTTTTTTAGTTTTGGAGGTAATCTGTCAGTGTGTGAGAATGGGAACAAGATAGGTTACATCCTGTCTGTCAACCAGAATGTAAACCCTTTGAAATCATTATAGTCCTATTACTGTAATTGAGTTTTCAGAATAATACCAAATGCTTCAATAATACCAGATTATGAATTCATTATGATATGCTATAATAATGCTGGCCAGATGCTGCCATTTTGTCTGGCCGGCAAATGAATCTAATCCAAACTGGACATCTGACAATGGAGGTTTTCATAACCCCCAAATGACTTTGAACAGGTTTTGGGTTGTATTCATTTGCAAAAATACTAATTATACACAGAGCCCCCCCCCCCCCCCTACACACACACACACACACACACACACACACACACACACACACACACACACACACACACAGGAAATCAAAGCTGGCTGCAGCATGATTATTGCATGTGAGTAGCATGGTTTTTTTACATGTCATAGACAAACTTAATTTTTGATTTATTGAGGAACTGATAGAAAAACATAAAAACAGGAAATAGAAAGAACACACAAATAATTAGAAGTTTATTTCCTCATTCAAAAACAAAAGTCTGACAAAAAGATTGAGCTTGATTTAAGAATATACAAAAGCAAGTTTTTACTTAAACCTATACGTATATTGTATACTCTTGGGATGAAGGCAAGAGCAAAGAGCTTGATAATAATAATACAGTGTCACTACTGGCCAGCGTCTGCTTGCAGGCACACAGAGGTGGTTTTGGAACAGGAAGCACCGCCTTGACCCTTGCTTCCTCCATTGCGCCTTGTTTATGTTCCAACGACTTCCTGCATTTCTCTGTCATTTCTCAGGCTTGGAATAGCACCGGCCGGCGGATGGATATATCATGATATATTTGTCTAGCAGAGCGTATACGTGTAGAAATAGCGACGTAAGCTGAGGGGAAAGCTGCTTCCTAATAACTGGAGACTGCTGTGGTGTAATTGTAATGCGAGGTTCCTGTCACTAGAGGGTGGTTAAGCCTGAGCTATGTGAGCAAGACTCAACTGTGGAGATACCGTACATGACAGGAGGTAAGATTACTGACGTTTCACAAAATGATCTCTCCTCTGTGTAAAATATACTTGACTAAATACTAGCTAAATGTTTTCTGAAATGTGGGAACTGCAGAATTTGATTTATACATGCCCATACTTGAGATATGAGAAGGAATTGAAAATGTTTAGTTATTTAGATTTCCTCTATATAACTTCTCAAGTTTACCAACTGCATCATCAAAAATTGTAGACAGTATCAATTAAACCACCTACAATATGAATGTGATTTTGCATATGTTTGTTTACCTCTCTTGCTGACCTCCTGCCTTCCTGTAGCTGGTATTAAAACATAGCCTATAATAAATATCTTTATCAATAGACAACCTCTAATGAAATTAGCCTTGAAAGAAAGACTACAATATCTCTGCAGTCACTCGAAGTGCCATAAATCCACTTGATAAATGAGTTCAAGTTGTATTTTTCTTTGAGATTAGTGAAATGATGTACCGGTGGATTGATCTGCCTCCTTTACTTTATCTGACACTTGTCAACATCAACATTTTTTATGTGGAAAGAGAAATGAATAGACTTATGAGACAGATGTTTATAATGAACTGACTGACTTCAGTTGCTGCAGCTATTAGCCAACAGAGGACTGATTTGTGCTCATGAAGGCCACCTAGTCGCATTGGATTGATCATGGGTTCCCCGTCTTAAAAAGAAAATGTGGGTTTTGGGGGGGGCTTGTTGCCCCAGCATGGTGTCATTTGGCCAGGCTCTTAAGCTTCAGGCCCCAGGGGTCTGGCACAGGCTGCCAAATCCTGGGAAGGTAGCTGTACAACAAGCAACTCAAGAGTAATATATGATGCTCAGTGTGTGTGTCTGTGCCTTTTGTTCTTGTTAATAATATCAAAGACAGGCTGCAAAGCTATTTTAGGCCATATACTTTCCAGAGAAGATCATGAATCAGCCCTTAACATTGAATTATACATTTTTGCTCCATAATGGGAATATGATTAGTGGTTATGTGTGATGTAATTTTTCTGTAAGGAATGAATTACATCAAACATATTGTCCATGATTGAAATTTTGAACGGATTGTAGAATTTATATGGCATTATAAAAACTCCACTAACTTCAAAGGAATCCATGGAAATGGCTGAGAGGTCAGAGACAGCTTTGTGCTCCAAGGAGAGAGAGGAAGATCTTTCTCAGATTGAGCATTACAAAGTTATGCTCGTATTACGGCTAAGGCTTCCTGATTCCCATCCCTTCCTTCCACACACACACGCAAACACACGGACACCTACACACACACACACACACACACACACACACACACACACACACACACACACACACACACACACACACACACACACACAGAGCAACATCTATGAAAATATACGGAGACAGAGAGAGGGCTGCACATGATCTTGATTTGGAGCAGCTTTAAACAAATTAGGGCATTTCTGATGCCCAGTTTTGAAGTAAAAAGACCAACACTGTTTTTGGAAACATTCCCAAACAAACCCAAACAGGGAAACTCTTACAACTAAACTGCTTTGTGAAAAAACAGATTAGTATGTCATGTAAGCATGAAAAGATCTAGGTCTTTGTTGTACAATTAGACAAAGAGACAGGGCTGTAGTCTTAGAAATGACGTCATGAGTTCACCTACCCTCTAGTCCTTGGAATTTCTTTAATTTCATTTTTAACTTATTTAACTTATTTAGCTGTTCAGTTATACTTAATGCATTTTTTCTAAACTCAACACACTTACTAAACTCTTAACTAAGATAACTGCCATAAGCTGTTTTCCCTGTGGTTAGTGGCAGATTACATACATTCAGAGTTTATTAGGAAATTACAGACCTGTAAAATAACCCTTTACTGTTACAAACTTGACACAGTTAGTGCTGTTTCAAAGCCCTCTACAGTCAGGCATACAATTATGGAAGAGAAATATTGAATCCTTTATCTATTCACTTGTTTTTTTATTTGTTGGTATATTATAGTATACATATATATGTATAATATACTGAGTAAAAAGTACTGGAATAAGTCTAAAAAATATCCTGCATGAGTTTTTAACTGCAGAATGTAAAATCTCTCTCAGTGGCTGTCATCAGCAAATAAACAGATTACTAGATCTTCTTCTTCTGACTTGTTTATAAATATTATTGTTAAATAATAAAAAATCCCATCTTTGATGGTAACTTGGGAAATTTTAAGATTTTGCAGAAAGGGCTTAAAAGGGTTTAAAACAAGGTTAAAATCCTAAGAGAGCCAAAGAGCATGGCTTTTGCAAACCTTCAGGAAATCAATCTGCATAAAAAGTGACAAAATAGCTTCATCTGTGCAAAGATGATTGCAATCTAAAACTGAAACACTCACTTGTGAAATGTTGGGAGCAAAATGACCCAACTGAGCCCCATATAAACCGGTTTGTACCAGTGGGAGGCCTTCACTTCTGAGACCTGGTCATGATACTCCAGATTCTTGTGGCTGAATTGAAGTAAACTGAAGTTTAAGGCGGGACATTTTTTGAGAAAATCATAAAGATTGGTAGACTTTTGGAAGTTAGGGCACATACAGAGATACACTCATGTAGAAAGAGAGAGAGAGAGGAAGATACACACACAGAGAGCCTGTTCCCTGAGCTACCTAACTGCTAAACGCTGAAGAGAGGAGAGTGAATTTGGAGTGACATCCCAGTTATTGCTCATGACATTTGTGCATCGTCCAGGCACATATGCGCAGTAAAAGCCGCACCTAGGGGAGGTTGTGTGTGTGTGTGTGTGTGGTGTGTGTGTGTGTGTGTGTGTGTGTGTGTGTCTGTACTGATGAGCTAAGCGCAGCTGAGGACAGACAGTGAATGAATAATAAAGTGTGTCAAACCTGACCTATGCGGTCACTCTATTTAGGCGTTACCTCGTTTGACTACCAACCTCCTCTCCATCACACACACACACACACACACACACACACACACACACACACACACACACACACACACACACACACACACACACACACACACACACACACACACACACACACACTTAAATACAAATACAAAGCCTCTTGTGTGAACTAACTTCAGAATGAGGAGATACCATTGAGTGCCTTTGTTTTCTCCAGCTTTAACACACAGTAACTATTGAACTGTGAAAGTGAATTGGACAGGGATCAACCATATAATATAGTTTTGACAGCCTTTGAAGCGCATCCGCTCTGCCCCCACGCTTTTGCTGATTGCCCCTGAGCCCTTTTTCTCCTCTGCACAGGCATACTGTGGCATTTACAAGGTACAGTGGGCAGCAGAACGCTCATTAGAAACAAGTAAGCATACATGGATGGAGAGAGAGGTACAGTGAGTGGGTGAATCATATGGTCGAGTGAAACAGGGATGTAGTAGTAAATAAAAAGCTCGGTAAACAATGATCTGTAGCTGGTGAGTGTCAAAAGGGAGACACCAGTGTACATAAATAATCAATTAATTATACAAGCACCTATGTATACATATTGCATCACTTCAATACTACTGGGGGGCTTTTCCCGTTTATTAGATAGGATAGTTGAAGATAGACAGGAAAGAGGGTAGAGAAAGAGGGAATGATACCCAGCAAAGGGCCACAGGTCGGAATCGAACCCATGGCTGCCGAAGCAAGGACTCAGCCTTTGAACCTCTACCAGGTGATCAATCGGGATGCCCTAAAGATACAGTTTTTAGATATACTATTGATTGCCTGTTCTTGAATATAAGATAATGGCAGATGAATAAAGAAAAAAACAACACAAAGTTTCAATACTGGCCACCATGACATTCGCCACAGCTTCAGTACTCCCTCTCCAAGTTTCTAGAGTTAAAAAATAAATAGTTTGCGTGCTCAGAAATGTAGTTTTTATGAAATCAATAGTAACAGTTGACTGACAGAAATGTTTGTTTCGGTTGTGTGAACCCACACTGAGGTGGCACAGACTAAAAACATATCTTTCTTTTTAGTAGCCTCTTGCTATTGATTTAACAAAAATGCAAGAAAAAATTTGCTAGTGGATCTTTGCCACTGGCTGGTAGTGCCATGTAAAGACTTCAAGAGATTTCATGTGAGGACAATGAGTAGAGCTTCTTCTTCACTGTGTTATGCCTCTGGAGGGATGAACATTTTTTTTCCAAATGATATTATTGTTTAGATGATGGCGGTGGAGAGCTCTGTCTAACACCAAATCTTCCTATACTGTACTGAGTATTGTAATGTATTACTCAGTTTACAGCCACTATTTGGTGAAAAAAGGCACTCATGGTGTGCTTGTTCCATTCTGTTGGCTGCCTGTTTTAAGCTAAGAATAATGAAAACAGCCCATTCCCTCCTTAGGCCAATAAAGGATTATTGGGCTAAATTCCTGTTCTAGTTAACTAAATAATTTTCCGTCACATGCAAAAAAGATAATTTTTGTATTTAAACAAAACACCAGACTCAGGCTAGTAGATTCATATTAAATATCTACTCCGGCAAATTCTGGGTTGTTTACATGAAGTGCAGCGAGGTCAGCCAATGAGTGAGCTCGGTACAGACCAATGGAGACACAGGAGGCGGGCACTCTAACGTGCGCAGGACAGCACGTCTTCGCGAGCTCGTTAACTTTTCACGCCCATGTCTACGAAGAGGTGAGTGTGTCATGCTCGAAAATATAAAGCTAACCTTTTAATATTCTCGTATTTGCCTGTGAAAAACACTCCACCACAAACTTGCGTTGAGTTAAAATATCCACTGACCTCCCTGCGGTTAGGGAAAAAAAAGCGCAATTTTAGCACCAAAAGCCGTAACTGTTATATAAACCCCGCAAAAGTCAGCTGTGTTTACTAGCTATCTGACGGTGGGCCACAGCTTACATAGTATGACTGCAAATAAACTAGGCTAACTCACTGTGTACAAGTCATTTATCAACAATAATAATTGATAACGCCACATTAAAAGTTATTTATACATCCTGGCGGTCTACATCTGCAGCATGCTTCAAGGTTCATCCGC